TCAAATACTTTATTTATTTTATGATAGTATGCAAATCAAAACAAGCTTTGGTTAAGGACCACATATGAGTGTTGGGGAAATGGGACCCTTCCGAGTATATACGACAGTTTGGTTAATAGTGAGCGTTAAGAGGGATCACTCGTTGCGCACGTGAAAGTGAAAATGTTAGCCAACGCACGGTTTCTTCTCCTTCTTCATTACTGTTTTTTTTTTTTTTTTAGAATTTAGTTAGATAACTATGTATTGTTTCTTTTCTAGGCGAAGTGCATGCTTGATGCAGCTAATTAATTGTACAGCTAAAATTATATGCACCTTATATATAATATAGGCCATTGCGCCATTGCTCCAAGTATAATAATAACGCGAAAACATCACCGAGTCTATTAATTATAAGGAATTTCAACATGTTTCTCAATATTACTGACTAATTATAAAATTTATAACCAGTTAAACAATTGCAAATTCTTTAACTAATAACTTCTATTGAGGGTAATTTTAAACTTTTATTAAAAGTTAATTATTTTTAAACTAATTTTACTGCCCTATGTGAAATTGTTATTAGCTACATTGTTTATAAAAAAGGAAAGCATGGAGTAATATTTCTTTGTAGTTCATCCCACTCAATTATATTCATACTCTGTCTTTGTCGACGTGCATATCTTAATCTTACCATCATATGCTCCAAAAATCTCTAAGGGAGAGAGACCACAGGTGCGCGCTGGCACACATATATACATATATTTTCTTTAGTTTACTTTATTGATTATCTTTTAAACAAGTGAAGTGATTCACTTTATAAATTATTGGATTGATAATAATATTTTATTTTAAATGAAATATCTAAAGTACTCTTTAAAAAGTGAGAGAGAAAAACAAAAAAATATGTATATTATATAATTTATTACTTTTTGAGGGTTTATTTATAATTTATTAAATTTATTTTTTATACTTTTATTGTATTAATATTGAGCAACATAGGATTAGTAAAAATAACTTATCAATAAGACCGGAGGGAGTAGTTAATCATAGCTTTTATCGTTATGATTTTTCTCCCCTTGCAGCCTTGCAATATTGATATATTAAGTTATGTGTTAACCCTTCAATCAAATTTTATTAGAAATTAAATCACCTGTCAACGGATTTTACACCGAAACATGCAAGGCTCGAGATATATACTTAGTGGTAGATTTGCTCTTTAATTTTAAATTCAAGAAAGTCAGAAAATTTATGACGAATTTTATAATATAAATTTGTGATAAACAATATAATTCATAACAATTTTTATGATGGATTTGCGGCGAAAACGTGAAATTCCATCGAAAAAAAATGTAACCGAGAAAAAAAAAACGTGTCTCAAATATCGTCACAAATTTCTTGGTTTTTTTTTAATAGTACATGGCTGTATACCATAATATACACATAGAAAATTCAAGAAACAGTGTTCATATCTATTTTGGGTTATCTGTCAGGCTGAGATAGAGAGCACGTGCAATGCTGTAAAAATGGAAGAATTAATTACGAGATTCTACGCGATTATTTTTTACGATCCATTTAATAACATAGTTATGAGTAATTAATTGAAGACGAAAAGAATTAAAATAATGCAGGCGGAGATTGATGCAAATAATGATGGAATATATGGTCCCTGAATTAGATAAAATATTGTTTGATTCATATAAGATAATGGTACCTATGGCCCGTGAACTCACGAAGAGTACTCATGGACCATTTTCAAGTCTTGTTCCCTATTAGTACATGTAGGAAAAATATTCTCTCCTGTTGGGCTGTGTCCTGGCCCATCCTGGTGTACGTAAAAGGGTGGCAAAGCGGTAAATATTTTGCAAAATGTAACCGTAAAAAAAAAAATTATCATTGATGTTTTAAACGTATCTGGAGGGAACTTGAGGGGAGCAACAGGGGAGAACTGCTGCCCATGCATGCATACCTGATACCCCAACTAGGTGAGTTTCCCAATCATTTCGTTAGGTCTGTTCAACGGATAACCACGTACGTATATTCATATATATAGATATTTATATGTGTATATGAAAATATATACATATATATCAAGAGGGAATGTTAGGTGGTGTATCCATCTTGGGGGCCAAAAAAGAAAGAAAGAAAGAAGAGATCATGTATATTTTTATAACCGCTCACGATATGGCTACAGATTTAATATGCTCCTTCTTCTTTTTATAAAAACCTATCTAATTTAATCAGGCATATAAACTTTGACAAAAAAATAGGCATATAAACAAAATAACAAGACTTAATTATTTAGCCTTATATATTTAATATATTATTATTTAAATAAATTGAAACAAGTGAATTTTTAATTTGTTAGTAATATTAATAACAAGAATTTGTAATGTAATAAATAATCTATAAAAGATACAAGCATTTTGATTTAATTAAAAATAAATATTTTAAATATATAAAATTAAGTATAAGTTTTTTTTAAACACCATAACAGAGTGCTAAAAATATAATCCAACTTATGATGACTTGTCACACTTATGTGAGCTTTGATGTCACTTTTGTTAAATCTAAGAAGCGACTGCTGGGAAATGTGGAAGAGAACAAATGGCTAAGAACTTTGGAATGCATACACATTTTAACTCAAAATATTCAAACTTAAATTTATAGGTCTTCTTACATCGTTTTAAATCCACACGGTATATCCATGATATATTTAATGCTGTTTACCAGGTGATCGATTAAATAATGCAAATCCACGATACACACACATAATATCACAACACCCCCTCCATCACAGCACACTCGCCTACACCAACAGTGTTTTGCAAAAATAATTTCCTCAGGAAAACAGTGATCAGCGGTGTCTTGCGCAGCCCCTGTACGTAATTTTCTCATTATTTCTCCCACAACATCATTGCTTCTCTCCACAAGTCTTGTATGATTTTCTCGGTGTGTTTTGTCCTATCGATAATTATAAATATATATATAACGTCTCTTTTTCACTCTCAGCCGCTAAAGTTATTAATTATATTGCTTGCTCATCATACTAGCAATGAGATACATCGGTTTTATAGCATCACATATAGTGCTATCTAGCTAATTAATACTCTTTCAATTATTTTTATAAGTCATTTTTAAAAGTATGTAAAATTTTAAATATACTCCTGTATAGTAAATTCAAAAAGTAATGCCGTGTTACTTTTTTTTTCATGAAAGATAATTTTAAAAAATTTTTTTTAATATTACGTATATAAATTATAGATGAAACCAAAATAAATTTTTTAAAATATAGCTTATAAATGAGATCAAAGGATGCATATACAGCAAATCTAATTAAGAGAGACTCAAGTTCAAAAGTAGGTTAATGTATAGAATTGAAATGAATTCAACAAAGAGCTAGACTTGATTAATTAATTTTATATACTAGAGCACGTACGACTTACAGTATGCAAATACCATTTTGGTATATTTTTAAGATTCAGATGTCAGATAATTATAAGACATATACATGCATGTCATCACTACTGAAGATAAAAAAACAGAAATATATAAGATGGTTTTGATTTGTCTAACAAATTGCATATATTAGGGCAGCGATAATAAGACCAAAGAAGAGCAGAGAGAGAATCTGGTGCTCGTGAGTAAAACTTGGAGGGATCCAAAGAAGGAACGAAGAAGGGGCATATGTTGTCTTTTTTGACACTATTAGCTCTGCTGCTTAGTGTCCCCAAAACAGCAATAAGATTCCTTTTCTCTTTCCTTCTTTAATTTTCTCACACAGATAGTCTCTCTTTATCATTTTATCACTCTCATGTATACTTTCACTGTTTTTCTCCTTCAATTATTTACTCATGACCCTACCTTCACATCTTCTTCTATCACACACACACACACAATATTAAAATATTTCTCACGATGCTTTCGTGGCATGACCTAGCCATAGTATTAGCTAGCCATAACTTTTTGCGTGATATAAATTTACAACTGTTTTGACTGATTTGAACATATGGCAGAGACAAGGTGAATGTGTACGTCAGTACGTGAGTTGTTGGTTATATCGTTTCTTTCTCTTGTGATCGTAAGAGAGATAATATTTAATACACTCTCAAGTGAAGTTTCCAAATTCATGTGTAGGGAAAGTAACAAATTGGTATTATGTATAAATTAATTCAAATCTTTTGGCCAAAAAAAAAATTTCACATCTCAAGAATTTCGAATCTCAGAGCTTAAGGCAGAGATTTTAGAAATTTGTGTTTTTCTATTAACAAAAAATAAAGCAAAACAAAATGGGGTTAGATCATGACAAAATAAAACTCGACACCCGTGATTCATGTTGAGCTAGATAGATCTAGGCAACTTTCAGAGGTATTGGCTATTATGTTTCCAGTTAAAGGCATTACATGACAGTATCTGATTTTTTTTAATTAATTAAAGGCTCTTTTATTATGAGGTAAACTGTGAAAAATTAAACTTGGTATGAAAAAACATAACTAAATATAACTGAACGATGATTAAAATTTTCACCTCCTTTAATTTCAAATATTGACGATCATCCAATAGGAGAATTAACTAATTAATTCGAATTCAGGTTAATTTATTTATTTATTTTTCTTGCAATGAACTTAGCATCATAATTATAAACAGATGAAAAAACAATTCGAGACAATTCTAAAACAAGGCAGCTCATTGTATAAACTCTTTATACACCGTGAATCAAATTTATTCGTTCATTTTTTCTGCTGAGTTAGTACTATTCGGATCCCTCTGGAAAGAATTTATTTATTTATATATTAGATTAGAAATCTGGCGTGTCAAAGGCGTAATAGTGAGGTGGACAAAGAAAATTGATAGAAAAATTGACAGTAACGCGCACGAGAGAGAACAACAAGAAGGAAAAGCCTCGAAGTTGAAACTAAAGGTACACATGGTAATTCCAAAACCGCATCACATGCGCTGAATCAACATTCTGCGTCCTCAAGCTCTATTAATAAAAGCATCCACTACACTTTGTGTTTGTATGGTCCTCTCACATCTCTCTCTGAAGAAATTAAAGAGTGTGCTTGTGAGAGAGAGAGAGAGAATGGTTTCGTTCAGAGGTGGTGACAAGAGAACAGCCATGCACAGGAACCTACAAGTCCCTCGCTCAATCATCAACTCCCACCAGGTATCACTCTCTCAAACATCTCTTTCTCCATCCAAGTTTCGCTTCTTTAATTTACCTACGAGAACAAATTCCTCATTAATTAAAACCTAACAAAGAGACAAATTATCATTAAACTCCACAATCCCTCGTACGTCTATACGCGCGCATTTATTGTAGTGATGTCTGATAGATTGTGTTTGTGTTACAATTTATCGGTTATCCTTCGATATAGTATATATTTCTGGACTTGTAAGTTCTGTATGTTTGTACGTGCGTGCAGCTGCGTTATATGTTTATCACTGAATTCGGTTGATTAAAAGGTCAAAGGAAGTTTCGACTAGTCATTCAAAAGAGATTATTTTATCTTCATTTCCATTCAATGGTTAAATGTGCATTATAGTCCCAACTTGTAATTATAATTATGAGATCAAGAACTGAAGATTATATGTCGATCGATGAAACTCTTATACTTTCCTCTGGTGGGTTTAATTAAGCAGCAGAAGCGTAAAGCCTCGTCATCAGTAATATTACATGATTCAGTGTACTTACAATCACTGAGGCAGACTCTGGAAGAATTGAATCGAGCAATTGCTGCATCACAAAAACTCATCGACTACGATCCAGTGCCTATGGTATGAATATATATATATATAGAGAGAGAGAGATAAACGTCTATCATCATATTTACATCCTTGAGTTTTTAAGATATTTCATTCATACATACTTATGCTGAATTGCTAGTTTATAAATGTTTGTGAAATGTCAGCTCATAGTTGAAGCACGAGAAGAAGGGTTTATGATAAAAGTGTTGAGCCAAAGGAGTTGCGAGGGGTTGCTGGTGTTCGTGTTGGAAGCCATTGAAGAGCTGGGCCTTGATGTTCTCCAAGCTAGGGTTTCTTGTGTGGACAGCTTCTGTTTAGAAGCAGTAATTGGAATCCAAGTAATAAATAAGATCTTATGAACATTTACATGCATAGTTATATTTTCAAACACACACAATATCCTATGCATATATAGTTTGTGTGTTGTATAATCTCTCTATATATCATTGAACTACCCAGCCTTGTTTTTAACCGGTGGAACCCCTAACACAGTTATTTGTGGATTGTAAACCAGAAGGACGATAAAGAGACTGGCCATTTGAATGCGCAACTGATTGAACAAGCAGTGTCTCAAGCTATCCAAAGCTGGAAGGAACTTGAAGATTAAGCAACATATCATAAATAATTAATTAATGATATATATCCAGCTAGCAACTCTTGGGGTTTGGACTTGTTAATTTTATTATTTTTATTTCTTAATTTCATTCTGCCCTCTTAAGTGTTAGTTTCATCCCTTTAATATAATTTCAGCGGGCCAAGTGTTCACCTTCCGTGGCATTGATGAGTCAGATGTGTAATAGTGTGAGATAATAATCAACTTTTTGGAGCTGTCATATAATCTAGTGCCAGTAAGAAAGCTTTTCATGATGATCGAGAGAAATGATTTGGGAACGTGTAAATCACCGTGTACTAATTAATTAAGCTTTTCTTTAGCATAAAACTAATAATAATCAACTTTCAAGCCCACGCTCTAACTTGTGAGTACTATAAATAGTTAATTCTGAAGAGGAATGATTTGGGAGCCGTTGATGCACATCTCAATAACTTACGTGTGAAAAAAAAAAAAATACGTGGATGAGGAGGACCAACTCCTGTAATTAAATACATACTACTATTTTTTTTTATAGAAGATAAATTTAGATGAGTTAGATCTCTATAATGCACGATGAACAGGATATGTCCCGTGGCTCAGAAAACACTTACATAATAAATGCTTACATGTTGCCTATTAAATAAATTTTCATGTTTTGTAGCAAAATAAAACTTACGCTGTCCTTGTATTTATAAGCCAATCTCTTATTAGATAAACTTTTCTTGGCATTTAATTTTTATATTTCGACTTAAATGCATTTTAACATATCCAAATATATTTTGAAAAATGTTATAAAAAAATTAAATTCGAAAGGTAATATATAGTATTGCAGTCTAAAATGTATCAAATTGCTGTGAGCGTGTAACAGCTTTTGTATATTTGTATTAATAATAGTGTTTCGATTATTGAAAAGTTTCTTTCATTGATTATTATATTCAACATTTGCTGTCCATCCTGAAGTATCTTTCAGCCAAGCCTGTATAATGTACTGATGTTTTTTGTGGTCAATTTCTTAGAATTCAATGGTAAATAGTGTGCTGTATATATAATACACTGATAGATAACAATACCATGATATTGGTGAATTTCTTAGAATTCAATGGCATAGCATGCTGCCACCAAACTTCAATATCAATTAAGGCAAAAGGGAGTAACAATAATTGGAAGTTTGGATTAATTTGTAAGAAAGTTGTATCAGCTTAACTAAAAGTTTTGAATATGCTTAAAAATGTAACAGGATTGATGGTAGAATTTTCACTTATAAATATTCCATCACGGCTCAATATGAACTAACCTAAATTCCCATTAAATCTCCTCTACTTGGATATAGAATTGTCCCAAGATCAATGTTTTTAAAACCAAACCAAATATTAAATTGAAAAGGTCAGCAATTTATAATTTGCATGGTCTAACCGTGTTGAACCGATGATGTAATAATTAAATTAAAAAAGTTATATATGCATTTAATAATCCAAATATAAAAAATAAATATGAAATTGCTATTCAACTTTAAAATAAAACTAAATATTTTAAATTCATTATAACTTAGCAAACCATATAATATAATATAACATCAAATGATTAAAAAAATTGATAATTTAAAAAAATTGATAAAAATTTTAAAAAGAAAAAGAAAAAAGGACATTTTTTTGAACAGTTCGGTGTTTGAAAACTGGACCCAATTTTCGATCTGATTGCTGGCCCAAAAACAGCCCAATTTGATTCAACTCTCCAAACAATTTTTTTGACTTAACCAAACTGTTAGTCTAACCGACGGTTTGATTGGTCTGACTGTCCAGTTCAATTCAATTTTTTAATCATTGCCCAAGATACACCACACAACAACAACAACAACAACAACAATTGAAGAAAAGGAGCAACAAATATTTGGTTCGTCAGATTTTAATCTGTAAATGTGGGGTTTATTTTCTTCTAAATACTTCATTTTTATTAAAAACATAAGTTTCCAATGAAAAATTGAGTTAACTGCTACTTGCTTCATCTTTCACCCAAAAATAAAATAAAATATTGCTTTCACGTATAGACTGCTTTGTTGCCAAAAGATTTCTATATCTCTGAAATGTGGATCTAATTAATACATCATTCTTTCTTTTTTCCCTTCTGCTGGTATTGTAAGATATAGGGTTGGCTACGAGTACCAACACCATTCCTAAAGGCAAGAAGTTAAGCAGATAATTAAAAGAATTCATATTTCTGGGGGTTCTGGGAAATGGTGAGAAAAAGGAAAAATTACATGTTAGTGTATTCCGTATAAGCTACTAAAATGTTGCTTCCAAAATTTAGAAATGCTTCTAATGAAATCGGATATTCTCAGCCTCTTAATTTTTTTGTCAATTTATAGAGAGAGAGAGAGAAGAGAGCGCCCATAATTCTCTCTTATCTCTTTTTAAATTGCTAGAAAATTGAGAGGATTCGAATCTGCTGATGTTTGCTTGACGTGAATTCTTGATGTAGCATTTCAGTTCTCCGAGAGCTATTCAAGCAATTTGCACCCAATTTCTTCCAACACCATCACAACGTCAACACCATCGTCCATTCATATAGCTCTTTGGTCAAATAGATTGAACACCAAACTCCAGGTCCACAACTGAAAAGGATACACATAGCATTAATGGTTTTCCAATTTCTGCCACAAATGAATCACGTGGCAAGTGGCATAAAACAATTGGGCAGGACAATCAGAATAAATATGAACACGTATTTTTTTCTTTTTTATAGATTATTAAGGGATAGAAGAAAAAATCAACCCTGTTTTGGCATGGGCACAACGAAAAATTCTGATGAAACTGATGCAAGCATAAAAAAGTAAAAGTTACCTTGTATCTATCATGATGGATGAGCGCTAATTCTGTTCTCAAGATTGTCTTTCCACAATTTCCACGCTTTCCTGGCCTCATTCAACTGGTCACTTGGTATCCTTGTGTCCGCGTCCAATTTCTCAATCCATTCTTTCCATGGATATCCTGATGGGTCCAAAAATTTTGAAACTTGAGGTAACATTACAGATGTGTAAAACTCTTCAACTGCCTTGTTAATTTCTTTTGATTCAGACATCGCTAGCATTTCTGGCCTTGCCACATTTCCAGGTCGTTTTCTCAATGAAAAGCTGTTACCCCTCAAAATTAAGACTTCTGATGGTGCAAGGGGAAGGATGATTCGTGCAAACTTTGACAGTGACAGTTCTAGAATGTCCTTAGGCAGTAAGTTGCGTTTCACTGCCACAGCTGTCCCAACCATTTTTCGTATCTGGTGAGAGACAAGATATCAACATTACATATATTGTTAAAGGGCACAATATCAGAAATAGGGCATGAGGTGAAAGCTCCAAAAGCAGGGAGAGGAGGTGATTGATAAAGTCAAAGCACAGATGCTAACAATGGAGACAAGATATCAACATTACACATACAAGTAAGCATGCAGGTAGAGCCTCAAGGACAACAAATGAAGGAAAAATTAATTGAAGAAGAAAGGAAAATGCTGCAAAAGGAAAATGAAGCAGACAGTAGGAGAAAAAAAAATTGAAGGAGAAAGAAAAGTGATGCCAGCGGATCATTTTGCACTCTTCAAGGGTCACTTTCTAACCTTCATGTCTAGCAAGTTAGGGAAAATGAAATTGTGGCTCCATTGATAATTTTCCTTTTGTTCCTTTTCACCTTGGGACAACTTTCTGATCAAGTACATAGCGTTTATTTAGCATCCCATTACCAAATAAAGATGCTTGGCAAACTAGGGAGGCAATGAAGTTACTTTAAACAAATACTGAGAAAATATAAAGGGAGTGACTAAATCTTGCTTGGTTTTACACTCATAGTCATATCAACTCAAGTGGAGGATGACTATATATCTATCTAAATTAACAGATATGCACGCTCCATCAACATTTATTAATTTTCAATAACCAGAGTAGTTAAAGAGAAAGAAGAAAACAAATGAATAAAAAGCTCTCCAAGGGTCAGAAGTTGAAAAAGAAGAATGATAAGAAAACAAGGATCTACCTGATGTAGCATGAAAGACTCTCCCCATATGGAGACTTCAACATAATTGTATTTAAGCAATCGTTCCAGATTTCCACAAGAGCAGCGAAAAACTTTTCTAAAATGAGAAGCATTTAACCTGTCTCTTTCATCAGGTTCATACAACCATTTTGCACGAACTAAATTAGAGTTGTGATCATGCAAAATATTATTATTGCTAGAGCCAATGGAAGGTTCATCAAAATCACAAATTTCAGAGGACTGCTGGCTGGGCCTTGTGATATTTGTTGTATATACCTCATCAATTTGAAAATTCTCTCCATCGCTATCACCTTCTTCAGATTCAGAGTCTGATGAGATCACTTTTGCTGACATGTCACTCCCTGATGATGACTGTCTATGAGGAAAATGTTTCCTATACCTAGACCGTGCTGTATAGTTATGAAAAGGATGTTCTCCCTATAAAAAGTACAGAAATTAATCAAAGAATGCTAATAATGTCGAAGTAACAACATCCACGCAGAAGACAAACATGACCCAAAATATCACAAAAAGACCTAAGCCAAACTTCAATAGAAAATCTCAAAGCTCTAGCATGCTTATAGGTAAAGGTCCAATCAAGTAAAAGAAGCATGATTAAGTTAATAAGTGCAAAAGGAAGATTCACTCAATATCTAAGATGTTTTCTCTGTGTTGACTTTTAAGACGATGAAAAATTTAGGATGTCAGGACAGCAGTGTGTGATCAATCACTAAATCCAATCACTAACAGCCAGAAATTAACTAATATGAGGATTGAGGAAAAACCTGTCCTAACAAGTTTAACAACTCATCAAGAAGACTTCAGTAACTAGAGACGACATCAAAGAAAAGTTGAAAAGATTTAAAAATGACTAATCCCACACACCTCAAAAGCATTTAGAATGTCATTAAATTCTGATATGTGATAATCAATTTCATCCCTGCTAGAATGGCTTGGGATGCCAATAGTTTCAGAAGGAAGGAGGTAAGAGTACCTCCGCAAGTTACACTCCCTCCTTGGATCAAAGCTCCTAGGATCAAGAGACAAATTAAACTAATTAGGATGCCAAAAAAAAAAAAGAAAGAAACCTGTAAGTGCTGCTGCATAATAATAGAATTTCATCATAATAATCTCTTGCTTTCATTAACTTTCTTAAGGAACAGCAATAGAACAAATTTCAACCATGAATCTTTTGGTAGTTGACAAAATACAATAAAATACTCTATAAGA